CAATGGTCCTGTCTTCTCAACAGCTCAGTTCGGCTCAGTTCTCTGCCAACACAGCTGTACATTCTTACTCCCTTTGGCTATAATTGGTTTAACTACCTTTTCTGATTTAACTCACTCAAGTTTGCTGCACACAGCAATGGCCAGACTAGAAATCCAAGCTCTCCTGTGACTAGATGTAATCAACTATTAGCTCTTCACAACCGAGGTGCTCAGAAAAGACAAATCCCAATTAAACTATGTGCAGCTAACTGACTAGCCTTCAAAGCTTAGTTATTTATTTCCAATAATTTAGCAGCTGGCATGGCCTATGCAACTGCTTGTGACATTAGAGCTATGTAGGATAATAATCCTTGGTTTCTATACAGGGCTCAAGACAATGTTCATTCAAAATTGAAGTGTCATCTTGGGCAAGGTCTATCCACAATTTATTCTACGCATGCTATGTACAGTGCTGTGATTGGGTGTGGGATATTTGCTTCCTGAAACAGAGATGGGAGACACTAAACTCATGTCAACATGTATAATTACTGAGTTAATGTCCATGGAAAGAAGTAGTTCACTTCTTTTACAAGCCATTAACACTGCCAGCTTTAGTTCAAACACTCCTGGATTTAAGGTTCACCTTCAGTTTTTAACACACAGGAGAGCAAAGTTTCAATTCTGAATGAGGTTAACCAGTTCCTAAACTGGTTTCACCTTGCATGTCTTGATTTGCCCACATTTCAGGTTACTTCATGATTTTCTTCTACTTGCCCCCAGTGATGTTATCAGGGCAAGAAACAGGCTGGGTCCTGAACACCAACAGTGCTAACAGAACTTCAGTTGCACAGGATAAATCACTGGCTCTTATGTAAATGGCATAAAGGAGTCAACTGGATTCCCACCCCTAGTAAGATTGTAATGGCAAAAAAATCTAGCTTTCAACTCAAACGGAAGCACTGACACTGAAAAATTCACCGAGACAGGTTAAGTACTTAATATCATAAATCCCAACAGTGTCTCATTTACCAGGACAAGCACCAAGCTGTCTCA